GTCTCTCTTTAAATAAATATGTCGACTTCGAATTCCGAGCAGATTCTAAAAAAGAACTCTGTAGAGATTATGTTGTAATAAGAAACTTGCTGAAGAGTAAACGCGCGACAAATAGATAGTATCAAACGAATCAATAATACTTAAATGAACGAAAACTTTTGTAACACTTTAACGATTTAAAATTAAATCCATTTGATAAAGTTTCAGTTCGGAAAAATGCTAAGCGAAAGGCATTCAATTAGCTAATCTCTTCGATTGTCTACGATCGAAGATCGGCCAGTTTAAAATATGAAACGACAAATGAGATGAAAACATACCTTAGGAATAAAAACCAGACAAAGAGTGGCTGTACTACAAAATATAATGAACACCGCCAACATTATAAACATGGCGTCTTGTTTGTCAGTCAGCACGAAGCTTATAGCTGCACCGGTGACGCACATTATAACAACGTTGTACACACTCATCCCGACGTATTTACTGTCATTTAATGCCGGTATACTAACGTGCCGCGTTTCCCATGCCAGAAAGGCACCAAATATCTGAAAGCGATCGGGTAAGTGTCTATCGTATGCAATTTTATCTGCCAAGGCGCTTAGCGATGCAGCTTAACTTACCATTAAAAGGCCTTTGTATGCATATATGCAAAACAGATAAATATTCATTTGATTGCTCTGACAATACTCATTTTCCGGGATGATTATTATATCTTCGCTGGAAGGGTGATGCTGTAATTGAGAGGCGATTCGCGTATTAACCGATCATTATCGTGAATTTCTTTCGTGAATTATAATAGAAAATATATAGAAAGAGGAATATACCGAAATTTATAAAATAAGCATATATTTATTAGCAAACATTTTTTTGCATATTTTAGTACTCACATAGGGCTCCATTTGTTTTATCGCCCGATAAAACGGATCGGCCACTTGCCACGTTGTCATGATCGTGAGATCGACAGCCAACAATATCCCGACGACCATGAACAATTGGTAATCTTTTATAACCTGAATCACGATATGAGCTCGTTAACGTTGAACACGAAAGTGCGCTTCGTGCTCTCGCTATATAGTCGTTAACGAGTTACCTTTTTATTGAGCTTCACATCAGTGAATATGGAATGTACACGCCACGTTTTCGAAAACATGGAACCAAAGGCCAACGAGAAACCAGCCATCAACAGCCACGCTCGAGCCGTACAGATATACGGGAAAGCCGCTACGCTCGATAATTGCGAGTCTAGTCCGAGGAAGATAACGCTGCTGTAGGTCAGCATACAACCGATGATGATAAGGTTGTTCAGGTGGGGCGATGACATTTTGATGTATCTGTAATATTGAGTTTCGCGTGTAAGCCGCGCATTGGATTGGAACTGAGAAAGTAATCTGGGAGTCAAATGGAAGAACCGTGTTACGCGAGTGTTGCATAATTGTTACATATTACGGCGGAGCCGTCACCTTTGATTTCTGTATCTGATATTGATGGCGAGAAAAATGGATGCCAAGACGATACCGACACTAGCGGCCGAGGCTAGCACCGCGTACAGCGTGATGTCCACGGTGGAGTGCTCGATGATGCGAACCGTCCTGTCTTTCGGTGGCGATTTCCCGTTCCATAGCGAGGCCTTATGTCTCGTCAGATCCAGAATGCCAGTTATGCTATCGTACTCGCCTACGTTTACCTCGCGACCGTCTAAAAAGTTCACATTCAATCAAGAACGCGCACGCCGATAAAATAATATTCCTATTTTATATTAAGAGCACTTATTTTGACACGAGCAATTTTTAATATCCGTATATATCTGTATTACTATTAAAATCGAGTCGGTCGCGGGAAATATACGCACTGGTCCGTAAATTACACCACTCATGCGAAATACCCGGTCACCGATATTGAGCAAAAAAAGAAATAGCATATAATTGAAACTGTTCGAATTCATATCCATAGCGCAATATAAAAAATTCTTTTGTTGAATCGAAATTGCATCCGCGCTTTCTATACGACACATTTTTCATCTGAATTCCTTCATTAATTGCTAAATTACAACCAGTACGCTGAAATTTATTTCGAAATAGGTACTTTATCTGTTTAATTCTAAATGCGAAGTTTTCTCTTTCTCTTTCTTCTCCCCGCACCGGTCCTGTATCAAGAAGAAACTTACCCAGAAATTGTTTTAGAAGAATGTACGCTTTTCTCTCATTGTCGTAGAAGCGGACCGGTCCCTGCAAAATGTTAAACTTCTCACATTCATGTCGCGTTATTATACAGAACGGTTACCACAGGCGATCGGGATCGTGAATCGGATTTTAAAATAAAAGCCCGCTCACCGATTCAACTCGCTATCAACTCATGCCAATTTGCCCCGCTAACTCGCCCGGCGGTTTGTCATGTTTTTGATTTCGTTTTAATTTCAATTCGGTTCACCACCGATCGGTCCCATTCTCCCGCTCTGTTATTGCTACCATACATGTATGCATTCCTTTTTACTAAAACGTGCTCAACCATTGCAAAGCACTGCGTCACGAGTATATATACGAATAAAAGAAAGAGAACAAAGAGAAAAATTGTAAAAAAAGAAGGGAAAAAAAGGCAACTCATTAAGTTTGCCGGTAACGTTGGCGCGGTTAGGTGTATGTAGAAAAGTGATGCCTGCGCTTGAAGACACTTGGGGTCGGACAAAAAGACAGTCAAGTGTAACACGCGCGGCAGTGCGAATGTTGATTACTGAGAAACACAGCCTGTGTTCCTTCGCATCTCTCTGTCCATGACAGCACAAAGTGTCAGGCAGCTCGTCGTCACCAAGCCCACGCATACGACGATCGAAAGCAAGGGTTGTCGCTGGTCTAATGAGAGAATGTAAAGACCCGTTCTCCAATTTTCACCCTTCTTTATAAATGTCTTCTTCTTCTTCTTCTTCTTCTTTTTCTTCTTCTTCTTCCTTATTCTCTGTCATCTTTTTAAGCAAGTTCCTCTCAATTCTGCAATGCCCGGGGCAGTCTCACGGCAACAATAGATATCTCAATGCCCTCGACACAAATAACAACTTGGCGAATTGGAGCTAAGTGACGCGAATCAATCGAGCGGGGAGAGAGAAATATTTTGCTTTGAATTACGAAAATTATCGTTAAAAGGCTAAAGCTAAAGATGATAATCCAAGCGAAAGTCTCTTTCCTCCATGAAATACAAATGTATGTCACAAAATGATATGAAATGTCTTCAGAATTTACTAGGGCGATTATGCGAAAAAAAATATCATGTAAACAGAGATTTTTATTTTAATCAAAAACGTCGCATAGCTATGAGAAATAAAAATCTGACAATTTTCATCCAAAATTCTCATTGCAACCCAAATATAACAAGTGTTATATAATATTAATATATTAATATATTATTTAAGGAAAACAAAACGAAGCACTTAAAAGTTAGATTATATATTTGCAGTAAATTATATATTTTCAGAACGTTTTTCAAACTCAATAATTTAATATTAAGAAAATTATCAGAAAAATTAAATTTATAAAACATTAAAAAGTCTTAATCTGTTACAGTTACCTAACTTTTTAGATATCTTTTAGAAACTCGTTAGCAACCGATGGCGTCAACGAAAAGTAGAAAACTAGTATAGACTTCAGGACTGTAATTTTTTTTTTAAAGAATTGATATAACAATTTTCTTTCCTAGAATTTTCCGTTTATCAGTTATAATAGAAATCAAATAAGTAAATACACCATTAGAATTATAATTACATAGGATTAGAATTACAATATCTTTTTAAAGGCTGTTTAAAACTGTTCATCAGCGATAAAACAGAAGTAGAAAAACTCGAGTAAGATGACATTTTTGTCATCTTACTTATCCAAGATGATCTGCCCAGAAAACTGCTGCTGCAGCTTTTTACTCTTACTGTGAGGCACGTTCTATAATGGTGTTCGTTTTTAGCACTAAGGGTTTTATGTCGAATGACATTATCCGGTTTGTGTTCGGCGCACAAGGGAGAAGGGGCGTCGTTGCGGCGCGAAATTGCAAGGCGGGCCAAGCTTACCGTGACACCGTCGAAGCTTGTATTCCTGAGGGCATCGAGGAAGAGCCTCTCCCACAATACGTCCCTGTATCGAAAGTCGGATATAGTCTGGTTACGATGAAAGTGTCGTATCCTGCGCGCGACATGTTTCACAGCCAGCGCGACCGTCCAGATACCATCGTACGTGTAACCATGGAATCTGGAATACTCGTTACCCCGTCTCGAATCGTACTCTTTCCAATACTGTTCCGGGGTCTGAGGGGTGAAACACATATAAAATCGAATAGAGACGCAACAGGCGTGCCCTCGCATATGACGAATCTCAAAGACTCGTCGTATATACATCGTTTCTATTTGAATCGTTCTCGATCGCTCCGAGGTGCGATTAAACGCAATTTTCGGGGATCCGTATTCCATCAGAAATGCAATCGAGCAGATATGTATACCTACGTACGATACTCGAAGTACCGTGCTCCATCTGCGGATTCTGCAACCAATCTGAATCACGATTCTTCCGTAATCCTTTTAGAATCATATTCAGCTATTCACGTGGAACGGAAGAAATAATATTACGTCGCGTTTCTGCCGAGAAAAAAAGACTTCGGATATGATTAAATTACATTTAACGATCTTTCAACCAATTCTAATTTAGAGGGTCAAATAATTTTTAAATTTTTAAATAGGATTCGACTTCCCGGAGCGATCCGTGGATTTAATCGAAAATCAACAGTAAAAATTTCAATGTAATTCACTCACGATTCCGGACGTGGTGTGTTGCTCCTCGGTCGTCAGCGGAAGCAGATCCGCCAGGATGACACCGTGAAGGGCCTCGGATAGCTCGGAGGGAGCACATCCGCCACCAGGGCGCAACCACCATTCTCTGGTGTAAGTCCCGATGATGACCCACTGATATTTTCTGCCATATAAGCCAAACCTGTAAGCCTCACAGAATATCCGTCTAGCCCATACCTCGTTGAAATTTCCCAAGAGGATCCTCACGTCCCTTTCTTTAAGCTTTTCGAGCGCCGTTGTCACCTCGGTGGCAAAGCTCTGCGTCTCCACAAGCTCCATTTTGCTCTCATCCAGGTCAGCCACCAACCGATTGTGCACCTGGAAAGAAGATTTGAGTGTAACGAGAGAGAAAAAGAGAGAGAGAGAGAGAGAAAGAGAGAGAGAAAGATAGAACTCCTGCAACTTTCAATCCAAATGCTTATCACGTGCCATAATGTGAGCGTATTCGCGCATTTAGCTTGTTCAAGCAGGCCGCAGCGACGGCAAATCTCCATTTATAATGTAAATGGAACAGTTGCTGCATATACATCATCCACGCCCGCGAGCGCACGTGGAGAACGACGCGATCTCGCGACGGGATTAATTAACCCTTTCATTTCCTCGAATTGCTTCCAACTGTCGAGAATCGCTGTTTGAATCACTTTCCTAATGGTATCTAACGCATGGAAAATGTACAAGAAAGTCTTAAGATTTTTCAAGATTTCCTATTTTCCTTTTATGTGTTTTTATATTACGAAGGAAAGGAGAGGGTATTCGCTGAAGAAACGGAATCTAAGTTATTAAATTTAATTACGTTTGTAACAGAAAGTACTCTTTCGAAGTCGTACCTTAAGTTCATGATATAAAAAATTATTTTTAATTTTATAAATTTTATTTCTCTCTCTTTTTTTTCATTCAGTTTTATTATCAGACAAGTATTCTCTTGATCGCTGTATCAAGATTAACTTTACCAGTGAGTATCTGGGCTCGTTCTGATAAATCGTGCCGACCCGAGTCCAGTTGAAATGAAGAAGCAACGCCACTCGCGGTGCGTTGAGAGCGTTTTCCGACGGCACGACCCTAAAGAAATTCGGGAAGCTATTGGTTGTGAACATAGGATGGGTGTCCGCGTAGCTGAGCTGCAACAATAAGAGTAGAGAGCGAATGTTGATAAAAAAAATCACATCTCCCTTACGTGTTTGTTTCTGTTTTTTATCATCCCCCCCTCAATGCGTGTACACGTGTTGTCTGTGTGTTAGTATGCAAATAAGCAAAAAGAGCAAGCTAGGAAACTGTCTCCCGCAAGTCATGAATATTTACGACAACGTTTTACCGTCGCATTACCTGCGTAAGGCGCCAGTGTTTCGAGGCTTTCGCTATCGGATCCGTGACTTGTGTGCAAGCTCCGCCGAAGAGTATCACCTTGTGCGGCCCATTGTGCATCATGTCGAAGAACGCCTTCATCCCGACGGCGGCACTGCACTGCAATATATGCGATTTATTACGTTCATTTCCTTTAATATTTTCGCAATATGGAAGTATGAAATTTCAAGGCAATCTCAAGAAACGTCTGAGAATCAAAAAAATATCCGAGATACGAGAAAATGAGAAGTACTTTAAAATCGCAAAAAATATTGGGCGTAATATGGCGAAATGCGTCATATGTTACTTTTTCTCATGTTTTCACGGTTCATGTTTGCTTTCAAGATGAAAAGTGATCATTTCTTATATCGAAAATCTTCTTTGATATTTGCAGAATCAACAAGTGTTTGTTGGTGTACAGCCAGAAAATAGAGAAGAGCGGAGAATAGAATGCCAAATCGGCAGGAAGGGGAAAATATTATCATAACATCGGCATTGTTCTAATTATTGAAAGATTAGTCCGGAAGCTTGCGCGAGATTAAAATTGTGTATTTATAAATGCGAAATTCTCTCTCTCCCTCTCCCCTCCCCCCCCCTCTCTCTCTCTCTCTTTCTCTCTCTCTTTCTCTCGCTCTCTCACGCACATGCACGCACGCGCGCGTTTACACACACACACACACACACACACACACACACACACACACACACACACACACACACACACACACAC